AGAGAGAGAGAGGGGCAGAAAATGGGGAGGAAGGGGGGGGGGTTATTACGAAAACAATACAAGTAGAAAATGAGTAAAAAGTATCAAGATAGAGAGTGAGAGAAAGAAGAGACAAGCACCACCCAGTCAGTCCACCGGTACAAACACTTAAACCGGGAGAGCGTAAATGCTTCTCTTATCCCAGTAACTAGCATCTAAGATTCTTTCCCTTTGCAATGTGGATGTCAGATGCAATAATCGGAACTTTGCTGACAGTTTTGCAATTTATAAAAGTGAGCAAAGTGGAGATTAGACCCCTTGTCAACTTACCGACAGATAACGTTTGGTATTTACGAATGATATAGAGAGCAGCAGGTAAGTTTCTGTACATGATACGTGCGTGCGTGCGTGTGTGCGTGTGTGTGCGTGTGTGTGTGTGTGGGGGGGGGGGTTCTATGCTTCTTACTTATGTCCGATAGCATGATAATGTCATAATGTCTTATCTACAATCATTTCATCAGAGCCTCAGGTCATTTGATAGTTACCAAGTCGTTACCAAAAAAAATAACTTTCTTTCTTAGACTTGAAATGACCAACCTTGACAAGAAACAAACAAATGAAAAGATAATGATGAAAAAAGAGACCATAGTTTAAACTTAAGATACTTATTCATGAAATTAAAACCCTGGGGCCGGATACTCAAAACTACCCGTCAGTTACAAGGCCGAGGACGTTGTAACCGCTTTACAACATCGTACCTTCCGATCTCCTTACTACATTGTAACCCAACCATACTCAAAAAATAATTACGATGTAGTAAGCACATTGTAAGGCCCGTGTTTACATTGTAAGTTAATTCCATTGACTACCAAGAGAGGGCAGACCAGTATTCGATTGACCAATCAGCAGTCAGCCTGCTAGACGTAACAACCAATGGAAAGCCATGGTTGTCTTATTGCCACGCCCCCAACGGTCACCAACTCCATGGAAGGCCCAGCGACTGTCTCCCCGAGTAATATTTTTGAAAGACTTATTTCCTCTACTTTTAACAATATGTTTACGAGGTCTCACATGTGACTTACATACATTTTTTCGGAAGTATAAGGCAAAAAATCATAATTTCATGCGAAAGTAAATTGATTTTAACATACTTACGGAAGAGTCACTTATTATCGGAATAATAATTCTTAAAAGGATTGTTTAGTTGGATATTTGGCATCAAAGAAGGTTATAGTAAAACAAATTTAGGAAATCTGTGATATCGCAATAATTTCTTATCCTCTCCATAGCGTGAAACTAATGATTCCCTCTAATAATGACTTTCGCGCTGCAGTGCTCGGTCATGAGGATGAGCAGCCACCAAAACATTGTTGTGTGTCGTCTGTCGTCTGCCAACTCAATTTACAGTCAATTTATATTTGATTCAAAATAACGATAATGCATAGAAAACAGAGTATGCTAGACAATTGAAATTCCCCGGTATTAAACATGGAAAAGGCATGTTACTGTCAAATAAAGGTTTTTGTCGACTAAGTAATCGGGATATAAACCGTAATATATCCGGTTTGAAACCCTTACAAGAGCTCCCGAGCAGTTGTAACTTACAAGGTACTTTACAATGAGTGACATCATAACATGGCGGCTACTTTTGTTTCGAGTATGGCCCCCGGAGGAGTTACAACATTGTAACTGCTCCGATGTGAGATACAACATTGTAAACTGTTTTGAGTATCCCGCCCCTGGCCAGGTGTTGTGGACATTCCATAAGAAAAGCGTCAACAAAAAAAAAAGATAGTTGATTTCAGGAGTATGTTATACGCTTTTAGTTAATCATGTTATCATCAAGAGGGGGGAGATAACACATGAGTATATATGCTTCTTAGTCATATCTTCTTGCCTGCAGTGTAACGTTAGCAGCCATACTCTGGACATTACAGGAATAACCTTCGATTCTAAGGTAATTGACAACAGGTTCCCTAAATACTTAATTCCTAATCATATTTACTATATTGTCCCTTTGGATGGTTATAACACTTTAGTAATATTGCAGTTATCTCAGTCCTATCAATCCATCATTTGTTAACAGTGCTATTGTTATGGAGTGCCATCCTTATTTCTCTAGTAACCTTTGTCATTAGTATCATCATCAATGGCATAGAAATGAAGAGAAGAGAGGGGGAGGTTAAAAATTCGAAAAGGGGGGGGGCGGGGGGAATCAGTCTAGGGGACGCTCTAAAAAGGTACTTTCCATTTACACAAACTTGGCTTTTTATTAGGGGTTTTCCCTCCCTGAATTAATGGGAAAGTTTTAGCCCCTTTTTTGAGAAATGTGGGATCATAACCTCTCCTTCTCTCCCTTATTGCTGACCATAACTGTTCTTACTGTGATCAGTAAGAACAGTGATGATGATGATATAGGTAATAACTACGAATTCTTTATATCCGACAGAGATCATTGTGTAAGGAAAGAGCTCAATTGTAATATATACATACATACATATATATATATATATATATATATATATATATATATATATATATATATACCGTCACAAGAGCCTGTAACACCAAACCCTATATTATTATTATCATTAAATACACCTTAACACAGTTTTACTAGCATCAGTATCTAAATATGTGTGTGTGTGTGTGTACAAATGTATATGCATCTATGTATGTATGCATTAATATACATACATATATATACACATATATGTGTGTGTGTTATATATATGTGTATATATATGTACACACACACATATTTAGATACTGATGCTGAGTAAAACTGTGTTAAGATTGGTAAATTTCACACATTTAAAGCACATTAGTACTAAAGACATCAGTAATAAGAGTCTAAACCATGCGATCATTCTTTGAATGATAAATATTCTTCAACTCTGTCTTTCTCTCACAATCCACATTTCCATCTGTCTATCTCGTCATCATCACCATTTTTCTTTATCCCCTCCTTTCTCTCTGCCTCACTGTCTCTCCGTCTCTCTATATGTCTGCATCTTCCCCTTTCTCAGTACCTGTCCTTCTTACCTCATTCCGCCCGCTGTTTCTACTGTCTTTTATCATCATCTTCTTTTTATATCTTAATCCGTATCAGTCTTATCTTATAATCCATTACGAGTCGAGTTGTCTTTGAGACTGATGCCGTCTACCCACCTATGCCTGCCCACTTATCATCACCATATGTATCTTTCATTCTTCATTTATCTTTATTTCACCAACTCTACGGAGGAGTGTCGAAAATAAACCCCAGAGTCATGAGATTTTGCTCTCAAGTGCAAAGAAAGAGAAGTAAAAGAAGAAGAAGAAAGGAGAAAAAGAAGCAAATATGGTCTTTTCCTAAATCAGACCACGCGCGTACCGTCATGACTCAAACATGTTTCAAATTCCGTCTCGAACATCCACGGAAGACGTTGTTGTTTAGCATACGTAGTAACGCTTCGAAGCTTCATTCGCGGGGTACGACTTACGTGAACAATACGTAATCATAAAGGAGATCTCACAGAAGTTTTAGCATGGCGCAACTTCCCTACGGCGCCAGGCTTATCATTTGATAACGATCGAGTTCCCGTGATGGGCAAAGTGTGGTCTGTAACGCTCAAAGAATGTCCGGTTTGAATATTCTAATCTAAAACCCGTTACACGTGCACATCTCTCTCTCTCTTTCTATATATATGCATATATGTATATATATATATATTATATATATATATATATATATAGATATATATATATATATATTATATATATATATATATACCGTCACAAGAGCCTGTAACACCAAACCCTATATTATTATTATCATTAAATACACCTTAACACAGTTTTACTAGCATCAGTATCTAAATATGTGTGTGTGTGTGTGTACAAATGTATATGCATCTATGTATGTATGCATTAATATACATACATATATATACACATATATGTGTGTGTGTTATATATATGTGTATATATATGTACACACACACATATTTAGATACTGATGCTGAGTAAAACTGTGTTAAGATTGGTAAATTTCACACATTTAAAGCACATTAGTACTAAAGACATCAGTAATAAGAGTCTAAACCATGCGATCATTCTTTGAATGATAAATATTCTTCAACTCTGTCTTTCTCTCACAATCCACATTTCCATCTGTCTATCTCGTCATCATCACCATTTTTCTTTATCCCCTCCTTTCTCTCTGCCTCACTGTCTCTCCGTCTCTCTATATGTCTGCATCTTCCCCTTTCTCAGTACCTGTCCTTCTTACCTCATTCCGCCCGCTGTTTCTACTGTCTTTTATCATCATCTTCTTTTTATATCTTAATCCGTATCAGTCTTATCTTATAATCCATTACGAGTCGAGTTGTCTTTGAGACTGATGCCGTCTACCCACCTATGCCTGCCCACTTATCATCACCATATGTATCTTTCATTCTTCATTTATCTTTATTTCACCAACTCTACGGAGGAGTGTCGAAAATAAACCCCAGAGTCATGAGATTTTGCTCTCAAGTGCAAAGAAAGAGAAGTAAAAGAAGAAGAAGAAAGGAGAAAAAGAAGCAAATATGGTCTTTTCCTAAATCAGACCACGCGCGTACCGTCATGACTCAAACATGTTTCAAATTCCGTCTCGAACATCCACGGAAGACGTTGTTGTTTAGCATACGTAGTAACGCTTCGAAGCTTCATTCGCGGGGTACGACTTACGTGAACAATACGTAATCATAAAGGAGATCTCACAGAAGTTTTAGCATGGCGCAACTTCCCTACGGCGCCAGGCTTATCATTTGATAACGATCGAGTTCCCGTGATGGGCAAAGTGTGGTCTGTAACGCTCAAAGAATGTCCGGTTTGAATATTCTAATCTAAAACCCGTTACACGTGCACATCTCTCTCTCTCTTTCTATATATATGCATATATGTATATATATATATATATATATATATATATATATATATATATATATATATGTATACACCATGTGTGTGTACATATATATATATATATATATATA